TTTTTTTTTTTTTTTTTTTTTTTTTTTTTTGTTGGGACCTTCCTTGGTCCTTGCACGGGCTGGCCATCCAAGACCCGGGCGGCCCGGCTGGTAGCCTAGGCCACTATACATTTCTCAGTGTTGAGAGGTGGACGATACATTTCGAGAAAACACCATCTCATGGTCACTATACATTTCTCGGCGTCGACTCTAAAAATAGATTAGGTGCACTTTATTTGCTTGGGCAGTAATACCTTTTGATTATGGTATGGCACTGTCTGATTTAAATGTAGGTATACTTTTCATATTTGCTATTTCGTCCGAGTCTTTTGGTGTCTATGAGCAGGCAGGCGAGTGAAGTTGTGGCTATACCCTCTATCCCGGAGAGTGAAACCCTTAAAAGGCATCCTACATCCTACATCCTACTCATCCTGGAGAGTGAAACCCTTTCAAGGCTGGTTTGCCGCAGAGTAAGGTGAGTGGGATGTCTGCTGCAGAGTAAGATGGGCTTTGCTACTAACTTAACCGGCGAGGGTCAGGTCCTGGGCTATGTGTCGTCTTACAGATCGCCTGTCCTCTTGTGTCGTCTTACAGATCGCCTGTCCTCTTTGTACCCAAAAAGGCGGCATGACATGACGCAGAGGATCTGCAGTGACAATTAGGGGCCTGAATGCCATCACAGTGCGTAATGTTTGAACCCCTACCCCTACCCTGCAGCAATATGCCATCTCGTTTTCTTTTCTTTTTTTTAAAAAAAAATAGGTTACCTGGATGGAAGTTAACTAATTCAACAAGCTAGATAGGACCCCGCGAATGAACACAATTTACATTTTAACCTCTATTTCAGACCTTAAAATTTCATTTGAGGGCTCCGTTGTTTCCCGGCTCCGATGTGTATCTTATGGTATTTCAGACGACGACCAGCGATGTGATGTCATTCAATGCAGAGATAAAGTACCGTACGATTTCAGACAGATAGGACCCGTGAATGAGATCGAGTACCGTACGATTCAGACAGATAGGACCCGTGAATGAACACAGTTACACGAAATACAAAACTGTATTTTAGACTAGCGAGTGTGTGTTGTAACAGATTGCAGACGGACTTTGGGGGATCGGGAATGTGCCCCATATCCTCGAACCTGCCACAGATGTAGGATTTTTATTTATTTTATTTATTACTAAAAGGTCCATGTCTTGGTAGAGGGTGGATGCTAGGCCTTGGGAGGCGTCTGTCGTCATACTCAACCAGTGAGGGGATCGGATGGCTTGCGACAACCCCAAGGACAGTCTTCCTCCATTTGTGACGTGTTATGTGCTAGTCTTATCGCAAGTCGAGCCCTACAGCGGTGCGACCCAGACCTCTCTATGTAGACCTAGACCTACACCAACCCGCGCCTACTGAGGGGTCGTAGACACTTCCCCCCGGGCGCTACTATGGGGACACCCCAAATCTTGAGGACGTGTCATGTATACTCAATAAATAATATTATTGTCCTCAGTGAGACTTGAGGATCACAAGGACCTGGCATCTGAAGATAGTTGTACATCTTCTTTGTTTTTTTTTTGTCTTTAAAGCTGCATTCTTCTCTCAATTTCACCTCGCACTACCTACCTACCACTACCAGTACCTACCGTGGTAGGTAGTGGTAGGTAGGTAGTGCGAGGAAAAATTGAGAGAAGAATGCAGCTTTAAATTAAAAAAAAAAGACAAAGAAGATGTAGACATACGGGCAACTGTTATGAACTTGGTTGTCTGACACTTTAATTGCCACTCTCACTCAGAAGCACTCACACACGCCCATACATGCATGAGACCAAGGGGAGAAGGAGACAGGGTCCAACTGCACACAGATAAGAGATAAACAGCGGAATAGCAATTATGCACAGAAGGGGAGAATGCACTCAGTGTTTCTCTCTCCCTGACACACTCCCAACAACCGATCACGATTGACACTGCGAAGATCACAATTGGAAAGTAACCCAGACGAAGAGCCAACTCAACACAGTTAACCTCAATTATCGTTACAGAGTTCCACCCAGTGTCTCGCCACTCA